ATAGAAGACAATATATGTAGTTTGGGGATTGAACTGGGGAGTCATTGGTGCTTTCTTGAGCTTGGCTGTTTGTTTGCAGACATTTCATTACCCAACTAAGTACCATCATCCGTATGTCCAATGTGATGCAGATCTTCAAGAACTGATACCTAGCACATATTTCTGCTTGTTATACAACATCTAGTTGACGCGCCTTCAAGCCAAGCTTTCTCAACTAGTGTTCCTTAGGTATATTTGGCCTACAGTTCTTCACTGTGCCTACAAATTCAAAGAATACAATCCTAATTCATCCATAGGCCATCAAATAAGCAATGCTTTCAGAAGTCTTTCCCATATTGAGCTGTGGTGGCGCAGTGGTTAGAGTGCAATACTGCAGGCTACTTCTGCTGACTGCCAGCTGCCTGCAATTTGGCAGTTCAAATCCCACCAGGCTCAAGGTTGAGTCAACCTTCCATCCTTCCAAGTTGAGTAAAATGAGGGCCCAGATGGTTGGGGGGCAATAGGCTGACTCTGTAAACCGCTTAGAGAGGGCTGTAAAGCACTGTGAAGTGGTATATAAGTCTAAGTGTGATTGCTAGGGAGAGAGGGAGGGAAGAAGGAAGGAAAGAAGGAAGGAAGGAAGGAAAATGAGGCGAAGAAAGGAAGCTATAGTGCCGTGGTTAGAATGCAATATTGCAGGCTAATTCTACTGACTGCCAGGAGTTTGATCTTAATGGGGCTCAAGGTTGACTCAGCCTTCCATCCTTCCGAGGTGGGCAAAATGAGGAGCCAGATTGTTGGGGGCCATAGGCTGACTCTGTAAACCGTTTAGAGAGGGCTGTAAAGCATTATAAAGTGCTATAAGTCTAAGGGCTATTGCTAATTGGTGTTTTCCATTTCCAAACCAACTTTAATTAGCTTGTGGTTTCTTACTCTTGGCAAGGGATTGGATTGGTTAATCTCTACAGTTCCTTCCAGTCCTTATGCTGCATGAGTGTGTGAGGATAAAATTGAAGAAGAGGTGGTGGTGGGACAGGTTATATAATTCATCTTGAAGTACTCAGGATGAGAAAATGGACTGCCATTATAAAAAAATTAAATAGGGGCTTGCAGTAAAAAAGGATTATTGTTGTTTTTCCACAGTGTCCTGTTGTTCTTCTGGCTATATACCATTACACCACGATGTGAACAATTCCAGCCAAATAAGTGGAATTTTTCCTAAGAAGAGGAAGAAGATGGACAAAGGGATGAAGCCCTTCCTTGAGGGGGAGGAGGAAATCTCCATGGATTCCCTCTGTACTATAACATGTTCTCTAAGGCATGACTATTCCCCAAGGTTTCTTTGGGTGTAGAAGTTATTGGGCATCTCTGGAAAAATCATGCCAACTACTTTAGTAAAACCTTTTAAAAAAACCAAAACAAATCGTTTAGTAAATGTTATTCGATAGGCATGAGAGATTTTTAAAAAAAATTCTTCGTGAAATTCTGTAAGGAACTTGATCTGCGACCAAGCTGTTGTGTATTCACCGAGAACGTCCGAGGGGTCCAAATCAACTCAATCTGACAATTCAATTTGGGTTTCTAAAAATAGGATCGCACTAATAAAAAGCAAAATCCTATAATCTCTCTCTCTCTCTCTCTCTTTCCTTCTCCACCCCTCTCTCTATGTATACAGAAACTAAGCCAGTGGCATTTACAAAGGTTTAAATGGCATGAAAACCCACCCTGCATTGACCTAGAAAATTACTCAGACATGAAGCATTTTTCATATGCTGGATAATTCCCAATACTGTACTGGGAAGAGTCCAGTCCCAGTCAAAACAAATTGGAACAGATTGGCAAGGAGAGGTCAGGCTGGTGCTCAAGGTGGATCAGTCCATCCATCCTTCTGTCCTGTCTGTCCATCTGTTCATCCATCAGTCTGTCCAACTTTCTGTCCTGTTCTAATCCATCTATGCATCAGTCTGTCTCCATCTGCCCATCCGACTTTCTGTCCTTTTAACTGTGGCTAAAACTCATTGGTGTTACCGATTGAGTAGCCGAGTATGTAGAAAAGTCCCATCAAAACATTTAAGCTTTAGAGGACGCATGACTTGCACAGAAGAAAAGAATTAGAATTAGAATTGAGAATACAGAATAGAATATAGAATAGAATAAGGGAATATAGAATATAGAATATAGAATATAGAATAGAATAGAATAGAATAGAATAGAATAGAATAGAATAGAATAGAATAGAATAGAATAGAACAGAACATAGAAGAGAAGGGAGAATAGAATAGAATAGAATAGAATAGAATAGAATAGAATAGAATAGAATAGAATAGAATAGAATAGAATAGAATAGAATAGGAGAATATAGAATAGGAGAATATAAAATATAAAATAGAATAAGAAGAGAATATAGAAGAGAATAAAATAGAAGAGAGAAGAGAATAGAGAATCTAGAAGAGAAGAGAATCTAGAATAGAATAAGAGAATATAGAATAGGAGAATATATAACCTAGGAGAGAAGAGAAAATAGAATAGAATCTAGAACAGAATAAGAGAATATACAATAGAATAGAATAGAATAGGAATAGAATAGAAATAGAAATGTCCTTTATTAGCCAAGTGTGATTGGACACACAAGAAATTTATAACTAGTAGTTTATTAGCACTCGCTAGAAAGATAACATAGTTTAGCTTCCAGGCTGGTATGCCTACTCCAGAATAGCAACTAATCTCTGCTGTATTCAGATCAAATGGCTCAACTCCTAAACAGATGTGTGATCCAAGAATTTCTCACTGCAAATACTAAAATGAGGAACCAAATGGTTCCTGTTGGCCGTTTTTAAATATGATGTATAAATAAATTTTTGTCCCGTTTCACATCTTGCAAACACTGAGACCACAGACCCAAGCTTGCCAGTTTGCCTTTATTTGTTAATTGGTTTGAATTAAGCCATTTAGTACAAGAATCCCAGAAAAAAAGGGAAGTCAACTTATATAAAAAAAAAAAGAACTGCAGCACATCAGAGGCAACAAGGAAACATGGGCTGTTAAAAACACAGGCACATATAGACAGGCCAGTATGGCAGTGATCGCTTCACAGAATTGGGGGAGGGAGAGAATACGGGATGGTCATCGTCTTCCCTTTCGAAGTACTGCCTCTCTCGTGGAGGCATCACACAAAGGAAAGAGCAGGTGCTGTAAAGCCGTGGCTGGCCCACATGTGGCAGAATAAGGTGGCAGGAAAGCCACGGTGCACGAGAGGGGCAGCCGTGGCCACATAACTACAGCTGCGAATGCGATGGGTTTGGTACTCCTGCATAAATTGCAGACGGGACAAATGTGGTTAAGAACTAAGCATCACCACCTGCCGAAGTCGAAGGTGGATTCAAAAGTCAACGGCAGGATGGGTGCAGGGATGCCTCCATTCTTCCATCTCAAAAATCTACCGTTCCAATTTTGTGGGATGGGTTAGAGACAGAGCTAAAAGGCCGGGGGGGGGGGGATTGGATCAGCATGGAACCAGTTCTGTTCAGATTCCCAGGTCAAGAGGTCTTCTGGAGCCGCACCTTGCTTTTACACGTAGTCCTTGGCTTACAGCCATTCGTTTAGCGGTGGTTTAAAGCAGAGGTCTCCAAACTGTGGACTTCAATAGCTGGCGGAGGAATTCTGGGAATTGAAGTCCACAAGTCTTAAAGTTGCCAAGTTTGGGGACCCCTGGTTTAAAGTTACAAGGGACATGTCACAAAACTGACTTATGACCCCATTCTTAAAAGTTACAATCATTCCTCATCTTATGACCACAATTGAGCCTGTTTCTGCTATCAGAAACAGGCACGTGCTGAAGTGAATTTTGCCCCGTTTTACCCACCTTTCTTGCCACCTTTGTTAAGCAAATGGCTTCTCTGGTTAATTTAGTAATGGGGTTAAGTGAATTGGGCTTCCCCATTGGCTCTGCTCGCCAGAAAGTCACAAAAAGGGGATCACATGCCCCCCCAGGGACACTGCCACCGTCATAAATATGAGTCAGTTGCCAAGCCACTGTGAGAACAGGACAACTAGGCCTTAAAGTTGGTGTAGGCCTTTGCCTAATTGAAGGCCTCAAATTAACAGTCGTGTGAAAAATGGCCGCACATCGCTTTTTTCAGTGGTTGTAACTTTGGATGGTCACTGAATGAACTGTTGTAAGTCAAGGACTACCTGTACATCCTCCCTGCAATAATTGCACCAGGATTGTGGTTGTGGTTTGGTTGCTTGGCAACCGGCTCAACGTTTACAATGGTTACAGCATCCTGTAGTCAGGTGATCGCAATTTTAACCCTAACCTTCCCAGCTAGGTCCTGACTGAGTGATTCACACAATGACTTTCTGATTTGCTCAACAACCATAGTTAGAAATGGTAGCTCATTTGGGTCCGATCACATAGTGGTTTGCTTAACGACCACATCATGAGCAGCCAAAACTTTGGTTCCGATCGTGGTTGCAAGTCGAGGACTACCTTTATAGTCAAAAGCATTCAAAGATCCTCCCTCAAGCTGCACTTTTGCTTCAAATCCAGTCACACATAATGTCGGAACTGCAATAAGCATCCCAATCTCTCTGGTCAAATAAGTGTTGATAGAACGATCTTGTAAATATCCAACGTTTGGTAATATTCGGGTGGAAATAGTCACTGCCCAGCCAAGTGCTAGAAATTCGTGAAAGAAAAGTGCTTGGCAATCACTTTTGCACACCCATAATCATTACGTTGTACATAGTAGAAGCTTGTACAAACCCACATCTATTTTCAGGTAATTTCAAGGTTCGTTTAGCGTGGCCAGCATTTACTTGTGAACCCTAGGTGCTCTCCAGATCTTGGACACTCAACCTTACGTAGAACTAACGATAGTTAACCATTCCCAAGGTTGCTCTGTCTCCCCAGCCCGACACAACCAACACCATGGATCAAGTTCCAACATTATTTTCATTAATGGATTATTAAGCCCCTTTTTTGCCCCACCCCTGGTGTGTCTTTGCAAAACCCAGAAGAGGAACAGCTCTCCAATGTTTTCAAGTTCCTGGAGAAACAAGGAATATAATAAGCTATTGAGAATGTGGGACAACTGGGAAGTTTTTAACCATGGTGGTGTTTTTGCTTCGTTTTGTTTTGTTACAAAAAAAGTGGTAAAGTTAGTGCAATTTCTGTGTTAAAACCCAGATGTGGAACCGATCGGTATGACGAGGAGGGAATCAATCCCAGATTGAAAACTCTTAGCGCAGGTTGAGACATTCTACGCCGAAAGCTGTTTTATGGGAGGAGTTGAAGATGTTGGAACTCAATTGCATATCCTTCTGATGTAGAGATGAATCAAGTTCTTGACAAGCCGGGAAGGTCTCTAGTGAGGACCTCTAGATCTTGCCACCCAAGTGTGCCAGCCAGCTGGGGTGGCCAAGATCCCACACTCTGGAGGAATTCAACCCCTTTACCCACCCACCTACCCCCAAAAAAAGATCCCACGGAGGCTTCAAAATAACACAATTAAGGCTGTCATCTTCTTGTGCACAAATCCAGTCTTGCATTCCTTTGTGGGGTTGACTTCCAAGCAAGCGTGCCCAGGAGCAGGCTATGGATTTCAGGGGGAAAGAAGCTTAAAACTTGTGCTTGGCTCTCTCTGAAAGCAATAAGATCCCAAAGTGCTTGAATTAAAATTTGGACTGCATTCAGGAAAAATATATATATGTTTTCCTTCTCCGTGATGCATTACCATTGTTGCTTGTTTTGTTTCCTCACCCCTTACACCCACCCACCCCTTTTTTAAAAATGAAATCTGACAATATAATAATTTGAAAAGGAGCCTAGAAAAGTGCTTTGGGGAGGGGGATGCTGGAGGGAGGGAGGGGGATTTTCTTCTTTCCCTAGTGTTTCTCAGCCTTGGCTACTTTTAAGACACGTGGACTTCAACTCCCAGCACTCCCCAGTCACCATATGCATCTTAAACTCCTTAAAATGGCCAAAATTGAGAAACTGGCCCAACCTGGTCCTCAAGAGGAAGAAGGCATAAATGCCTCCCTCCCTTCCTCCTACCCAGTATATCTAAAATACTGTCTTGTGGAACATGCACAATCACTTTTACAGACGCACGCACTCACACATGCGCCAACTCCAGACACGAATGCACATATCAAGTAGACATGAGCCCTGCTCCCAAGCAACCATCAAGCCTGCAACTTAGTCACACATGAGCCCTCCCATGCTAGGCGCATACTGTATGCTTCTCCTCCTCTCCCCCCTTGCCCCTCTCTCCCAGTTCTTTTGTAAAACACACACACACACCACACACATTCCAAAATCCTAAATAAATACAGAAATGCACGAGACCAACATGCTCCCCCTAGCTTTTTCTCAACATGCCACTCTGACTAGCTGCAAAGAGTGTGGGCTCTTGTAAGAGGAGGTTGCAGGAGTGGCCGTCTGTCTTCCTTGGTGGCATCTTATACGGTATTTCCTTGGACATCTATGTCCCAGCCCAGGGGATGGCTTTCTTCCAGGAATTGGCTTAATCTCAGGGAAAACCAGCAGGGGGAAGGTGGTTAATATTTTAATTGGGTTAAAAGGGATGCTTATTACAAGTTAGAACTATTTTGGTTTGAATGCTGGAAAAGAAGAGGAACAAAGATGTGGGGTAGGTGTTAACGGCTCTCTCTCTCTCTCCCTTCCAAAGCCTGCAGTCTTCCCCAGCGGTGAGCGAAACATGGTCCACAGCGCCTCTCTGTGTCTGTTCAGCGCACGACATGGGCACAGTTATAGCAGCCCTGGATGGATCCCAAGCATCCTATTGTGACTCAGGTTGCCAAAGTGGTCGAGGTGATGTAATCCGGAAGGAATCGGCTGCAGTCATCCCCGTTGAAACCAAACACTCTCCTCTGGGGTTAGAAGTCCATAGTTGGGAAAGAGGGCAAGGTGGAACAAAGCAACATGGGGCATAACCGAAACTGGAAGGTGGGACACACACGATGGAACTGGCGGAGGCATTCTGGTACCCCACAGACTGAAATGATGCCGTCAAATGTTCTTCGGTATGATGTCCATGCTAAGTTCTTCTGTGTGGTATCCATGCTGATTTTCTGGAGAGGAACCTCCTGCAGGGGTAGGACCTGCCTTGAAAGAATCATGTGCTCTCCAAACCACAAGGAGGTCCTCCAAAGGTGGCAGACACAATTGCCCAATGTGGGAGCCCAAAGACGTGACCTCGGAGTAACCTAGTCGGAGAGGTCCTTCCGAAGTCTTTTATTTCTTTCACAACAATCCGTACTGTGTGATTCCATGAATACCGGCAAGGAAGAGGGCAGGAAAACCCGGAGCCCAGCCCCGAGGATCCAAACTGCGCATCTGGTCACCGCCTGTCCTTCAGCAGTAGCTGTGCGTCTGGCCCTCAGCGTACACTGTCCAGCTGGGTCCAAGGTAGCACCCGGATGGAGGGCCCTCTCTCCTTTCCACATTGCCATACTGTGGGGAAGACTCATCCAGCTTCTGCAAGGGGGCTGAGGCCTGGCTCCCCGAGCGGGGGGCGGGACCATCGTAAGTGATAATGGGTTCCGGACCGTAAGAGGGGTGCCCCCAACACGCAGAGGGCGGGCGGTAGAACTGCCACACGGCACGACTGCAAGGCAAAACGTCCATCAGTTGGCGGTGTTGCCCTGAGGGTGTGTAGCCCCATGCCAGCTTCTGCTTCTGAGGCAGGGGAGGCCTGCTGGGCTGGGGCAATGCCTGAGGAGCTCCCGGGTCAGAATGACTGCGGGGATGGGCCGCTTCGGGGGGAGGGGACGGCGTGGGGCTGACGAAGGAGGGCTCAGGGAAGGGCACGTTGACGTAGATGGGCTCCTGACGGGTGACTGCAGGAGGCATCGACTGGATTTGCAGCTGGGAGTTCTTTAAGATGGGCTGAAGAGAGGAGGAGGCAGCCGGAGGGAGATGGGCCTGGCGCCAGGGCCTCTCAAAGACCCCGTAGGAGGCATTGAAAGTGGCCAGGTACTCGGGGGGTGGGCAAGAGGGCCAGGGGCGGGCCAGGCCAGGATAGGCAGGAGGTTCCCCTACAATCTCATAATAGAGGTTCTCGTGCTCCAGCTGAGAAGGGGGGCTCCCGTTGACCCCTGGTCGAGAGGAGACTGGGAAGTGGCTGTGAGGCCGGAGAGGATGGTCTGTGAGGCAGGGCTGAAAAGTGGAGGACCTCGTTTTGAGGGGCAAGTGACCGGTCATGATGGGAAAGTGGGGAGGGGGCGGAGGCTTAGGTGGGGCAGCTGAAGGGCTGGAGGAAGGAAAGGCGTCTTGAGGCTGGCGGAAAGCTGGGTAGGGGGCCGACAGGGGAGGAGGTGGGGGATGCAAACCGTAGGCAGGAGACAGGGAGGACAGGTGGTAGGGGTCTGAGAAGGGGGGGTCTCTTTGGTCTAGCTCAGCGAGGACCCTCCTGAAAGGGGAAAAGGAATCCGAGCTACCCAAGGGAGAAGATTGGCTGAGAGGCACCTGCAGAGAAACAAGGCAAACGGAATGAGCAGCAAGAAGGCATGTCAAGCGCCCCGTGAGCACAAGCAGGCCAACCCCTCCCGCCCTCGTCCCTCCCTTCTCCCCCTTTCTCGTTCTACCGCCTGCTCCACCCCATCCTCCTCCTGTAGCTAAAATCTCCATCAGCTTGGCCAGATAAAGCCAGCACGGGTTTTCCCTCTTGATCGCGAGGAAGCTCAGGACGAGTCGGGACTCTATCATACTCTTTATCTTTGATCGCAACACAGTGGAGAAATCGCAGCAAAGAATAACCAGGGTAGGGTGGGGGGAGGGGAATCCTTCTAGAAATATTCCAAAATCTGCACCCGGCCTAACGGCAAAGTTATCCCAGCTCTGTCCCAGCTCTTCGTGAGCTGATCCCTCACCTGGCTGCCTGCCTTCAGGTTGCGGCTTTGGCTGCCGATGCTCCTACCCCTGGCCTGTGCCTGGAGAGGGGAGAGGCCAGGCGCCTTGGGGCTGGGGCGCACCATGGAGTAGAGCGCTTGGGCGCCGCTCGTCAGCTCGCCTGCCTTGCACTCCAGCGACAGAGAGCGCCGGAAATGCGTCCGGGGTTCCCTCTGCTTCAGGCTGGCCTGCCGCTTTTGCTGCAAGGCTGCCTGGTGCGCACTCTCAGCCAGCGCCAGCGCCATCAGGCGAGCCGGGTTCTTGGGTGGAGGAGGCGGTGGGATATGCCGCAGCAGGGACAAAGCACCGGGAGACACGGGAGCGGCTTCAGACTTCGGACCTGAATTGGGAAAAGAAAGAGAGCAGAGCAGCTTAAGGATTGCATTAGAAAAAATTACTTGTTGATCTACTCACATTTGCATGTTTTCGTTTTATATATATATATATATATATAAAACCTTGGCTACTTTTAAGTATTAAGTTTATTTTATGGCACAGCCAGGCTCATCCAAATTCAGAGGAGCTTGGCAGAGCTGCCTCAAGTTATAACAGACAGGCATAATGAAAACCACCCAGGCCAACCACAAGGTCACGAGCAAAGCAACAAATTGCAATAGCTGGCAGGTTAA